TTACACAATGAAGTCGTCAAGAAAAATGGCCATCAAATGGATGGCTCCTGAATCGATTGAGTCTTCAGTGTTCACGCAGAAGTCCGACGTTTATGGTTATGGCGTGAGTCTACCAGCAGTTTACCGCAGTTTTATATTCATTATACTTTACGTTCTTGGGCGTAGTCGTTTCCTAATGACCATTCCAATTTCAGATCCTAATCTACGAGATATTCGCCGTGAAGGAGCCCTACGAAGGCCGTTCAACTGCAGAAGCGAAAAGCTTGGTGGTGAACGTTTCCGGACTGCCTGTCGTTTTTCATCCAAATATTTTCGCTCTTTAACAGATTCTCGAAAACGATAGACCTGACTTTCCGGGCCATATGATGAATAAATTATCGGAGGTGGTGAAGGAAAAGATGTGGGCAATTAAGCCGGAGAAAAGGAGCACAATGCGTCAGGTATGTTTGGCAATTCTGATTACTGATTCTGTGTTCATTTCAAACAACTTATCACATTTTGGCCCGTAAAAATCGAAGTGGCACCCGCATGGGTCATCAGGTGCCATCGAGGCCGCAATCAGCGGAAAAATTTGGTCACCGTTGTCGTCGATTTCCATTTGTCGCACCGCAACGTATAGGCCATAGGATGACGGTACTTCTCCCCAAATGCCCACAGCAAGCGGCAATGGTTCCGGAGCGGCTACCGTATCCATCCATCGAGAATTCAAGCCTTTCCACCATAGAGCGCGACTGCGCGCGATCGCTCGACGCGATTTTCGTGAAGAAGTATCCACACCCTATGCCGTTCGCGGTGTTGGAGCTTCCTGACTGATGCCCATTCTTTCCCTTTACAGATCATGGTATGGATGCAAGCCTATACCGGCATGGAATTGCGAATCGTTGGCGGTGAAGGGGTGAGCCCTCCGAGTTCCAACTTACTTGTTTGCAATGGATGCAACGCAAAGGAGATTAGTTAGAGCTAGAACAAACTATTGAGGAAATAGAATAGTTTCCGGAAGAAGAAAGAAAAGACAGATTTCGCCAAATAATATGTCGTCGTACAATCACAGTCAAAAAATATAGTGATATTTGCAGCGTTCAGTAGCAGCGATTCATCAGAAAATGGACGCCCTCATCACGAAAGATGTCGAACTCCAGTCGCTACCGGGTTTCGAGAAAACACAGGCGAAAACTTTGGTGCATAAAAAGAGAAAGAAATAGAACTATCTGTGGAGAATCCGCAATTTTCATTGTAAAGCAAAAAATCGTCATTGTAAATCCATTCCTTAATTTATTAAATATTGTTTCAAATTGCTGTGTACCAGTGTCGCCTGTATCGGGGCTGTGGGCCCGGGATCAAACTCAAGCTCATATACGTTGCCCGCGAGCCCCTTCAGTTCATGCAGCTGCTGCTTTCGTAAAACTCGATATGACCTTTCTTATTGTTCAGAGCAAGCTCATGAAGAAGTACCGCCTTCGAGGTACCGACCGTTCCAGCGTTCCGTCCCGCCTCTGACCGTCCAAAGGTTGAGTCCATGAACATTTCCTTCCCCAAAAATGGAATCTCAGAGCAATCTCCTGCGATGTTCCCCTCCATCTACTCCTCCAAAAAGAGTGTGATTCTCCACTCAGGGGGTTCCTCAAAACTGCGCTTAGTCCTGCCCGTCGACCACTGCTCCTGAGCCCACAAAGCAACGTGGCGTGTCAAACCGTAATATCTTCGCCAATCTTCCCAAACCATGGTCACTGATCTTCCTTGGAATTCGAAACAGAATTCCCAGAAACACACATTCACGTTCTGAGAGAGAATCCGTTCCCAGAACCTTTGAGTGGGGCGAAAAACGCTGAAGTGCGAAATACGGGCACATGTTCAGCCTCAACGGATCCAAACCTGCACCCTTGCTTTTAGGGGTTCCGCCCAGAATTCGACAACCCTGCAGTAAGATAAAAGAGAAGCCAATCGTTACAATTATCACTGTTTATGGAAGCTATGGAGTATAAATAGGCAAGGGGCGGGTGGTTCATCATTTTACTCCCATACTCGCCTTTACTCACGTAGCTAATGCCCAAGGCACCGGACATTGCTCCACAAGCTGAAGCTGTCAGTTGTTCCACCCAGTGTCCTTCCCCATGATGTTATACTGTCCTGTTGCAGTTCGATGTTTCACTAATAAAGTACGATTACTTCCACGGGCTGTTACCACGTGAAGACGTCGCCGTACTACTCACCAGACATGGCGATTTTCTCCTACGACTAAGCGAAGTGAGGCGTTTTCAACATCCTTCCAGACGAGCCCAGTGTGATCCATTGGATGTACTTGGGATATCGATCTTAGGGGCGAAGATACTTGAAGAACCGCAGATGTAGCCGGTGTGCCGCAAATGCAACAAGTTTTGGTGACAAGAGGGGTGCAATACTATCGGTTAAGCGCAACCAAACACGACGATCGCCAAAGTACCGCAATCATGGTTGATACGGGCAGTGTCGCTCGTTTTCAATAAGTGTAAGACCCCTTTTGGGCGTCTATGAATGGTATTCAGCAGTCACGCTTATTAGGCCTCGATGAAGGACACGTATAGGGCGATACAAAAAGCACCCCTCCCTCGTTGTATTAGAAAGACATGATGGTCTAAAGGGTATAGGATGGTGTAAAGGGTTAGCCACTGCCAAGGAATACGTAGCCGCTGCTACTGAGACAAATGTTTCGAATGAGTGACGGAAAGTTGGAATTCAGGTCAGGGCGATGCAAGCGTGAAAATGACACAATCACGAGAACTGTACTAAACCTGTAGTGAGAGAGTTGGGACGAAAGTGAAGGAGTAAGAGACGAGACGAAAAAGTATTAGGGAATGGCAAAAATCGACTCGGTATTAGTTCAAAATGAAGGGGATCCCTTGGGCTCGCTACACCGCCCGTCGCGTCACCGCGTGCGGCGTACGTTTCGCGATGCGGTAGGATGGTCGATCACCTTGTCCATAGTCTACCCAGATGTTATCGCTCCCTGAAAACGAACCTCCTCCAGGCCGATACGATGGGAGCTAAACTGGAGATGGTCCTATCAGTCATGCACGACCCAAAATCACGTTGCCGTAGTAATGAACCGGCAGCAAGAATGAACTATGTAAGACTACTTCCTTCGAATCGTTCCCCAACATCGAAAATATCAAATTCCATTCTTTGCAGATCATGCATATCATAATCCAATCGGCTAAGAAAAGATACTATATTGTATGCTACCGTACCTTCAATTCCGTCCCCAATCTCGTTCTCTTTTATTTGAAACACGTACTGATATTCAGATCGGTCCGTTCAGCCACTTCCTCCTGAAGATTCGACCTTTCCTAAGACTCTATTGTATTACAGCAAGTAGTACAGCTGGCTAATGGGATAGGCTTGGCGCCATGGGAATTTCGTGCCGAAAATCTGCAACTGGAACAGCTTATACGGAAGTTCAGTTGTGGAGAAGTCGTCAAAGGAAAAGTGATTCGCAAAGATATGGCCCCTGTAGAAGTCGCTGTCAAGACGGTAAGGCTGTGGGTCCTAACATTGAGCGGATCTGAAAGTTCATATGATTTTAGGTGGCTGGTCGATCACAGGAAGCCAGAGAGAAAATCCTTGAATTGATGGCACAGTGCCGCATGCTGAACGACCTCTACCATCCCTGTGTTGTGCAGTTCTTCGGCGTTTGCCTGATCGCCCAACCGAGTTGCTTCGTGTTTGAATTCGTTCCTCGTATGTCACTAGGATGGCCTCCTGAATCACCCCTTCATTTTTCAAGCCGTAGACCTTCCTTTAACCAGGCCAACCCTAACCTCCTCCCATCTAGCCAGTCCTACTCCCTCTCCACATTAGATTCACGAAGTATGGTGTACCCTTCCTGGGACTGTTCCAATTCCAGAGAATCAGACTCAGACGCTTTCGAAAGCGATCCCAACTACCGAACTCGCCTTTCTGTTTTGCAGCCCAGCACTTGCCCGTTCGGGCGTGAGAGTTCAGGAGTAACGGTGCTGTTAAAGGGGTACTCGAGACATGATTGTAGCCCTGATCCGTTCGCAAAATGTTGCGATTAGTAGCTAGTTGTCTTCTCTCGGACTATACCATAGTAGGTTCATAGTTAGTTGTCCCACTGCAAAGCATGCCTTTCTGACTATCGCCCATTATGCATCAACCAGGCCCTTTTGATTGAGCACAACTCTAGTAGATATGAGGTTTGCCTTTCAATCATGCAGTTTCAGAAGGCCCCCTCGATGAATGGCTTCGTGCTAACAAAGGTCTGAAGCGTGATGAACTGCTATTGATGATTGTGAGTGCCGGTTGGGGACTCGAATATCTTCATCAGAATTCGATCCTCCACACAGATATAGCCGCAAAGAACTGCCTTTATGACGGACAATTTGTGAGATTTTCATCGAGTTCGCCTCTTCTTCATTAAAATGTAGAGGAAATAGGTGCAAATGAGGCATGGGGCAGGGAGAAACCGCGGCGGCATTGCGCTTACTGTCCATGGATCAAACTTCAACCAGAATTTTCCATAGATAAACTAGTCTTTTGTGGCATTCGATTAGTTCGACGTCTAGGAGGTTCGAGCCCTTTGTAAAAGGTTGGCTTGTATATAAACAAGGCCCCACATGCTTGGCTTACCCCACACCCTGCACTGGTACCTAGTTGATTCATCCCACTCCACCGGACAATGGAAACAGCTCAGGGAACAACAGGCACTCGCTCTAGTTGAAAGAGTACTGTTAAGGTAAAGCTGAGCGGTTTCGGTAGAGCCAGGAAGGCGACCACCTACACCATGAAAGCGGCAAGAAAAATGTCGAACAGGTGGATGGCACCCGAATCAGTCCAGGCTTTTCGATTTACGCAGAAATCCGATGTTTACGGCTACGGAGTAAGTTTTCAGGTGTTTTGGGAGAAGAGCAGCATCCGATCACTTAATCCCATGTTCTTTTCAGATTTTAATCTACGAAGTATTCGCTGTTAAGGAACCCTACGAAGGACTGTCAAATGTCGACGCTAGGACTTTGGTAGTGCCTTTCCTGCTGTTTAGTTACTGTCCTGTAACTATGACTGTTCATTCCGACAGATTCTCGAAAACGACACGCCCGACTTCCCTGGTGTAGCACTGAAGAAGCTAACGGAGATGGTCAAGGAGAAGATGTGGGCCTTGGATCCAGACAAAAGGTCGGATATGCGTCAGGTATTATCCATATTCGTCTACAGTAGTAGCATTTAATTTTGTCGAAGTAATTATTTTACACTGTAGCTCATGATTTGGATGCAAGAATATACCGGCATGGGTCTGCAGATTGTTGGTGGTGAAACTGTGAGTTGCTTCACTGACTTTGGACCTTCCAGCCAACCTTCACACACCCCTCCCCTCACGCCCCCTTCCCACTTCCTCACCTCGCTTACCCCTCGAAGAAGTGACAGAGAAAAAGAGAGAAAGAGAGAGAAAAGGGATGAACGAACTAATCGACTGACCGGTATCCAACTTTTCAGTACACCACTCTCTTTTCAATCCCCAGATACGAACCTTCCCATTTGTAATACCCACTCCCCATCCGAAACATCCCTGATTTCCCTGAGCAATACACGAATACTGCAACAGTTTATCGTTGGTTTTCAGTGTGTGACGGCCACGGTCCAACAGAAAGTGGACAACCTCCTCTCAAAAGACGTTGAACTCCAATCGTTGCCAAACTTCAAAGAACCAGGACTAAAAACGCCTACAAAACTCAAGAAGAAGAAAAATTGACCTACTGGGGTTGAGACCTGTGCCCTATAGGGCATGATTATTGGTGGAATGCTAGAAATAGTCATTGTAAATCCATTCGTTAATGAATTAAAGATTGTTTCAATTCTGTATAGTATTCATGTTATAGAAACCTGTACTGGCAACATTTCTGACTTAGAAAGCAAAGAGTGCATCAATTCTGCTTGGATTTACCCAAATAAGTTTCCTTCCTGTCTCAAGGATCTCGAGATGGTCGACTGGCGGAAAGCACCAGATCACGGATATGGGCCAGAAGTGGGAAAGTGGCAGAAATGATTTCTGCACTGGACCTACCTATTGGGTTAGTTCCTTATGCTCACATTTAAGGAAACTAAAAAACCCACCAGACGTCGGCGGAAGAAGGCGATGTCTGTCGTCGCATTGAATTGACCATTAGTGAAAGGATCCTGATCCTGAATTTAGCCTTCAAGCAACTTTTAAACGATGTGGGCCCTACTGCCAAGAAGCCGCCTTCGATAAAACTGACCCATGAATTACTCACATCAACGTCACCCCTGGTTCACTTTCAAAAAACTGACCTTAGCAAGAGGTGACTGGAATAAGATACCATATGGAAGCCTGGAGTGTGTGGTCTCCCTGGATGTGTCTTGGAGAAGCTCCACTTCGAATCCTGGAATCCACCTGAATACTCAGCTATTAAGACTGCATAAAACAACAAAAACCACCACTTTTTGAGTGAAGACCAAATGTCAACTCCCTATAAGAACTCTTGAACATACTTTTAAACTCAGGTACCATGCCGCACAGTTAAGACGGGAGTTTGAACTAACAGTCGTCGATTATAAAGTGGAATACGCAATGGAACGCTCTGATTATGATTAGCCGCGAAAATTTATTTTATCAGCTGCAGGCATTTTTGAAAGCAGAGTTATTCCGCATTTTTCTACTCTTAGTAATTTAAGCTGTAGTTTCCAGAGCTCATTTTCAGTCGTTCGCACTGCTTAAGTTCCTGTAAGGCTTCTACTCTTTGAATTAAGTCAACTTTAAAATCTTAATTTGACTATTTCCCGTTAACTACTCCATTTCAATAACTTTTCATGATCGCCATGTAGATAAATATTCCAAATTGAGCTGATGCTTATCTCCAAAGTTAACTTGATAACGTAAGGTGTGTCACAAAAGCTGCGGAGAGCCCAACCAGATTTCGTTGAGAACTGTTGGCCCCGTTCTTAACAAATCTTTAAGTCATCACCAGCTCGAATTTAAGGAATCACTCTCAGAAAGCTATGTGGTCGGATGCTGAAGATGACTTGTTCGACGATTTCACTGACGCCGTACCTGCTGCTGCAGAAGATGCGCAAGGAGATAGTTTCGGTACGGTTTGCCAAAATTAATTTCAAGCTAATTTGTGAGAAAAAAACCTTTTGACCACTATGGCAACATTAACAACAGAAACTTTTTTTAAAAACTCCCAGAAATTTTCTCCGCACAAGGACTAATGACTTCTAGACTGTTTTGTACATCCAGATACTGGATCTCAAAGAAGTTTTGATGGCAAAAATATGCATGCAAACAGCATTCCTAGGGATACTCAACGTCGAGACAGGTTTTTTCAGCTTAATCGAAGCAAGTATAGGTCGTCTTTGAGAAGAAAATTTTGTTTTCAGAATTGTTGTTAGTTTTGACAATGATCATGGTGAACCAGTCGAACCATCAAATGAGTTTGAAAAAATGCTGCTCAGAGAAGGGATCGAAGTGCGCAGAGATGAGAATTACAGAAAGTACATGTACATAGGTATACTTTGGCCGATGTACCCATGCCTTGATGAGACAAGATTTATTATTTCTCTGTAATTTACGAATTATATGGCTTTATTCTAGGCGACATTACAAGC